CGATAACAGAATTTGATCGTATATCACTGGCAGATTATGAAACAAAAACGATTCCAGCTGATCAAAGTATTCTAACGCAGCGGCTGAAGAAGGAAAAGAAGTAGTTGGAGCACGATAGGAGTTACATGAACAGATGTCAATATCATTTGCAGTAATAGAAATTATACTTTAAACATTCTTTTCCTAGCTCCTTCAGTATCAGTTAGTTCTCACTCTGGATTGCCCCCAGTGCTCTTAAAACTGTACACAGGAATTTCTTTTCTTAGTGTATGTCATGTCATGTTATTGAGTTATAAAGTTAGTCAGATTGAAATAAAGACGTAAAATAATAGTTGAGTTACATTTGATCATGATACAGGAATGCTGCAGTCCCACAATCAGTTGTGGATCAAACCATCAGATATTTCACCCAGTGCATCCAGAAACTGTATTAAGTCACAAAGAGCAAAATCGCAGATCAATCTCTTTAATCTAACGGTATTTTTACCTACAGCCACATTGTTGAACTGCCAGTTAACTAAAATATACTGATTAATTAGATAATAGCGACGAATTTCTGTTAGAAGGCTATAAAATGTGGTCAAGACCTAATAATATTAATTGCCGTACTTCCATATGCACTTAAAGATAAAGTGCTCTTTAAATCCGATACGACTCTTCCAATAGTATGTTCTAATGCAGAGCGTATATTTGAAAATTCTTATGTTTATAAAGTAGAGAGAAACAGTCACCCTGTCCTATGAGTTGGAAAATTATAAAGCAGCCATTATTTCGAACCTCGCTAGATCTTGTTTTGTGAAAAAATTCGCTGAAGGATCAGTTTGTGAAAGTTTTGGTGAATCCGCTAAACCATGCATTACGTTCATCTGTGTATGAGATTCGGGGTAGAATCAGTTGTAATAAGTAATTGATCGTATTTCGACGATAAATGATGAAAATCGAACGACTCCAGCTAGTCAAACTATTCCGACGCAGAAGTCACATTAGAAAATAGGCTAATAACCACCCCAAAATATAAGACCGATAGTTGTTTTTTGACTAACTCAAGAACAAAAAGTAGTAGAGACTTGCGATTATCACCATTCAATAGCTAAGACTTTAAAGCATCTTTCCATAAGCGAAGCCGTTTGATTACCCAAAATCTAACGTAGTAAAATATTAGTTTTTTTCATGGAAAGATAACCTTAAGTGTTCTCTTCAAAATAGGAGCCAGGCGAGACCTTCATTTTCAGTGATTCAGGCGTGGTATCGAGTTTCCTTGAAGTCGCAGGACTGGTGTCAGCTTACCTAAGGTATTCTTGAAATTGCATAGATAGACATATGTCTTTGCGAAAGTTCCATATAGACTAAATAATCTAGAGTGGTTGATTAAACAACGTTCTGTAGAAATAAGTCGCAGGAAAAAATAGTGGCACAAGACAAAATTTATTATCTAATTTTTTTTTTGTTTCAACACCAACTGTAGGTAGTATCAAGAAAGTAAAAAATATTTATGAGAGCACAAAGACCACCATCGCTACGTCAGTCCAAAGTGACATCAGCCATTCTGGAAGCCACAAAGTTCAAGAATGAGTGTGATCATCGCTGTGTTCGACAAACAGCGTTAAAAAATTGGGCTAAAATTGTGTCAGCTTTATTAGTGCCGTTAATTTTGGGTGTATTCACTGTCGTGCAAACACTTCAACAACAGAAAATCTCAAGCCTTCAACGTAAGCAAGATCAATACCAAGCAGATAATACTCAAAACGAAGATATATTTGCCAAATACATTGACGATGTTTCTCGTTTTATTTTGAAACAAAATACATTCTTATCTCAAACTGACAAGGTTTACCTTCGCACACAGACACTAACTGCACTTCGTAAACTAGATACAAAAAGAAGGAGTCAACTATTCCTGTTTCTCCTTGAAAGTCAGCTTCTGTCCGGTGCATTTTCATTATGCAATGCTAATTTGAACAATATTGATGCTTCGAGTGAATGGAATGCAATGTCCGAAATGGACAAAATGAACGAATCGAATGATTTTTATTTACCAAACGTTAATCTTCGAAATGCATCGTTTGCAAGGCGGCTGCTTCGATATTCTACGTTTGACGGTTCACAAATGGACAATAGTAACTTCACAAGCTGCATTCTTTGGAACACGACGTTTGTTGGTAGTTCCATGAAACAAGCAGTGTTTCAACATGCTATAATGGATGGAGTAGATTTTAGCAACGCTAAATTGGTTGAGGCCGATTTTACCGATGCATTATTAGTCGGCAGTATAAATTTCGTCAATACCGATCTACTCAATGCTAAAATAACAAGTAATCAATTAACAAATTCTGTGCTACTGAATGCTCGGTTGCCGAACGGTAGTTTTACCTTGTTGGCGGTAGAAAATATTTTAGCAAACAGTGACGGAGAAGACAGCCATGAATGTAATGATGAAATATACGGGTGGGAAATAGAAGGTAATGTGAGACTTCAAGCTTACAATGAATCAACAGATGTTAAGCATGGTCAATGCTATTTTTCGGGCTTGGAGGGATCTCAAATGAAGCAAAAGGTTGACTTGATAAATTTTACTCTTCTCATTGATAATCATGAACTTGCATACAATTTATCGGTCTATTTAGCATCAGGCGTACGCGCTGTTTTGACTTTTATAGATAAAGACATGGCTGTCACAGCAGTGCCATCTGGTAAGCTACGATGATATCACAGGTAGAAAAGTAATCTTTTTTTCATTCGTAGGTACACCGATAGTTACTTCTAGTAAAACGTTGCAGTTTTCTTCAATTCATGGTACTATACCTAGATTCAGCAGATTCATCATTGTCATAATATCTTTCCTACACGATAATTCGAAAACAGGCGATCGCTTCATGGCTGCAGATAATATTGTATGTGCATTAAAAGGAAACTAACAAGCGTAAGTACAACAGACGCAATAGCTCAGCGTATCTAGACTGTAATTAGAAACATACGCTTTTTTATTAACAAACTATGTGGTATACTCGCCATACAAATATTGTGCTAAAATAAGGATGTATACGAAGGTTTAATTATGGCTGTTTTCATGATATAAGATTGCAAACCTCTTTTATATTTCAGCTTTTTTTGTTTTTTTAATCGAACAGTGCATGCAGTATAGTGTAATGTTGTATAGATGATTACTTACAACATTTTTTCTTCGTTTTATCCTCTGTTAACAACCAAAGCTTACTTTAAATATAAGATCAAATCATAATACCCTTACGTTTTTCCGATCATGTTTGGTATTACGATAATTGTATTAGGGGAGCCGTCCAAACTATGGACGAAATCAATCGGATCAAACGAATCATTCGGATCATTTGTAGAATAACTTGAAGCGTTCGTCTGTGATGTTTGTATAAGAGAGAAAATATATAAAATCTTTTCTTATCCATTTTATTCATTTCTTCCAATAGATTACTTTTTGTTAACTCTTATATATAACACATCAAAGAACACTGATCTTTCTTTCCTCTTCGCGCTTATAGAAATGAACATAGAAATCAAGAAAACGAGAAAAGAACAATTTTTCTATTTTAATCTAGATAGTCATTTATTATGTCTAAAAGAAGCAGTGCTCATCCTGTATTCTAGCAACTTCGCGAATTAAACTTAAATTAACTAGAGAGGACCCTTTTCAACTTTTTATACTAGTTTGAAGTACACAAGTTGTACTATATACTGATGTATTTTCTAGAAAAAGATCCCTTTTAGTTTTTGAGATATGGGGCTCTCAATATTGGTGATCAACGTTTAACAAATCATACTTCTTTTATATGCAGCAGCTAGATAAACTCGTTTTAACTATCATGATTTTCCGGCTTTCTCTTCGTGTCATGATAATCAGAGATAATATGTGTTCAAACTTTACTTATTCAGTGAATAATCATATAAAATGAAATAAAGTAGAAATGAAAAATATCAAAATTAGATTTTTCTTTGAGATTTTTGTATATTCGGAATCAGTATAATAATAGTATAATATCTAACTCCTAGAAGACCAGTGGTCTTCTATTATGCCCGCAAAAAAATCGGAAAATGCCCTATTTTCAAAAAATTTCGCCAAAAAGTACTTCTAATAGGGGACGGACTTCAAGTACGTGAGGTTACCGTTGGACTATTAGCAGGCGATAAAATTTGACCGCAATAGAAGACCACTCTTTAGAACTTGACTTGAGAGACAAAATAGAAGACCAGGTGGTCTTCTATTATGAGGAGTGTGTGTGTGTGTGTGTAACGGCCGCTTGCCGTTACATATTTTATTTTCTGTCGCTTGAAAAGTTTCAGAAACTTCTTCTATGCGCTCTTTATACAGAAAGAATGAAATCAGTTAATAATTGATTTTTATTATTCTTTTGTTTCATAGTGACGCGAAATGTGGAGACACATTATATTCGTGTCGAGATTTCATTAAAAATATCAGCTTTTCTTCTTCTTCAAAAATTCTAAACTTAAAATTCTAAACTTCTTCTACTTCTTCTTCTCTCACCTTAAGAGAAGAAGAATCATCATCATCAGTCGTCTTCTTCGTTTATCATACAAAGGAAGAAGAAATTCTACTGCTATAATTTTATAACTAAATCTCACATTTAGTATATATTTAGTATTCTTTTAAAATTATAAAATATAATTTAGTGTTTTCATTTGCATTACTTTAATTTCGTTCTGCACTCGTTCTCCTCATCAACTTTCGTCAATTGAAGAGAAGCAGTTCACCGATCATCATCAACAACCATCGTACATTAGTATTATTATCATAAAATAAACATTAAAAGACTTAATATTTCATCATTATTGTACG